AAAGAACTTACATGTACAACCCATGGACATGAACTAAAGGAGCGGGAGGTGGGGTGTGGGGACGGCTTTTTCCGCAAATCCCCCTGTCCACCACAGATGAAAGTAAACACTACCAAGACATGATCTGCTTGGGGAGGAGAGATGGCCAATCCCTCAGAAGGGAAGGGCCTTGAGTGGTGGCCAGTTTCTCAGAGGAAAAAGGCGGAGAGCCCCTTCCTCCAGGGGCCTTTATTAGGTTGTAATACGCAGGAATACAGGGTGGCAAGGATCAAACAGTAGATAACATTTCAAAGAAATCTGAGGGTTTAGTTTGAGTCAGAGTCTGTCAGGAAGGGAGTTTTGCAGAAACTTTAGGGTTTCCTGCTCGGACTCTTAACATATGAATGAAAACACTCTTAGCAGAGCAGGTTTCACAGGTTTTTCAGGAAGTCTTTGTGATGCCAGATTCCCCACCCGGGATCCACTCTGGCAAGGCAAGGAGCTGCACCTCTCCCCATCAGGTATTCAGGCTTAAGGGGTTAGAGCCAGGAAGCGCTTCTCCCAGAGAACATGGGGACTCGAGCTTTGTCACATAGCTGGGGGGCAAGGGTCCATTGCTCGCTCTTTGTTGCAGCCCCCCGAGTCCTTCCATGAAGGCCTCCCAAGTGATCGAGTCTGGCTTAGGTTGCCCCTCCTCTGAAGGATCTGACCAGTCTCTGATTTCCGACCAAGCTTTGGGGGCAGGGAGGAAACTGAGGCAGCATTTGCTACCAGAGACAAGCTTTGTCTCCTGTGGCTCGCATCCGGGAGGTCGCTCACCCATCCTACCTCTGCCCACCCAGCCACGGGAGGTAGTTACAATTCCTGAGACCAGGCAAAGGGGTCCCCAACAGGAGTGTGCAGGGCGGAGGGGAATGGGGGGGGGGGGAGTAGACAACTGTAATAGCATAATCAATAAAATATATTTTAATTAATAAATAAAAGTCACTGGTAACAGGGGATTAGAGTTAATGCAGAGACTGGTTACTAAAAGTGTAAGGAGAACTCTAAAGAGTAAGGAATGTAGGGAGCAACCTCTCCCCCTTTGGCTGCAAGATACGCCTTTCCCCTTTCAGTGTCCCTCTGGCACCCTCTACTGGCAAAGGCTAGTATCGTACCAGGAGGACAAAGAAAAATGCTTGCAAGATCCACTGCGGCAATGATGAGTGGATCTGGAGCTGTGAGGCAATGAAACAGATGACTGGCATGAATGTATTCATGCACATGCTCGGGGACTTCTGCCAGGGCAGGCTGGTGAGGTCCTGCAAGGCTGCCGGTCTGTGTGGCATGCTCGTCCCAGGCAGGCCATGTGTTTCTCTGGACTATGTTGGAAAGTCGCTCTTGTACATCTGGAGGACAACAAGCATTACCTTGTGAGGAGACTGCCCCCAGGTGCAGGGAGGGCTCATTGCCTCAAACGAAGTGGGGGACTATCAATGTGCAGACCAGTTTGGTCTGCCCAAGGTCTCCATCCCGTGTCTGAGGGTCGCCCGTGCCTTCACCTTAGCACAGCCTGGCAGGGTTCAACTCTTACCTGGCGGTGCAACTCTGCAACCAGGCCCTGGGCTTGGTGGTCAGCCCTGTCTGCCCTGGTAACTAGAGAAGACAAGGGACGCTCTACCAAGGCAGCTTTCCAATTGTTCATTGCATTTCCATTTGGACGTTCTCAGTCTTCAGTTGCTCCCCTTCCCCGTGTTTGCTCTGTAGGATCATCGGAAAAAAGCAACTGACTCCAATCAACATGACCGCAATCAACATCAACTGACTCCTGTTGCCATAGTAACAAAGTACCACTGCCACTTCAACTCCCCATGCCTTGCCTTCCTCTTGCTCTGCTTTCTCTGCTAGCACCAGTGATAATTTGAGCCATTGAGAGATTACCACAGGCTTTGTCTCACCTGTGCCCCTCTCTGCTCCCCACAAGGTGCTTATCTCTGTGCTTCTCCTGGGTGATGGAAACCTAATCCCAGAAGACAGTTCTATGCCTCTGCTTCCAGGTGCCACTCCTCACTCTAAATATTGAGTTGGCCAGGGTCCCCGCAGGAAATGACAGTACGACAGAAGAAATCACAGAATGGAGCACTCACTACATCATCAGCAACCCAAAGCTCTCTAACAGGCTGTTATGGGTGGAATTGTGTCCCCCTCCCCCAACCAAATTAATAAATTGAATCCCTAACCCCTAGGACCTCAGAAAGTGACCTATTTGGTCGCAGGGTCTTTACAGGGGTAACCAAGTTAAAGGTCATTAGGGTGGGTCCTAATCCAATATGACTGGTTTCCACATGAAAAGGGGAAATTTGGACACAGAGACAGACACTCACAGGAGGAAGGTGATGGGAAGATACAAGGAGGAGACGGCCACCTGCGAGCCAAGAAAAAAGTCTGAAACCAACCTTCCTTCACAGCCCTCAGGAGGAACCAACTCTGCCGACACCTTGATTTTGGACTTCCAGTCTCCAGAACCGTGAGACAATGCATTTCTTCTATTTAAGCCTCTCAGGCTTAAACAAATACACAGGCCATGAGTCAGTGTGAGAGGACTTCCACTACAGGTGCTAGAAGCCATGAGTCAGTGTGAGAGGACTTCCACTACAGGTGCTAGAAGCCAGCTGCCAGGCCAGGACTGAAGAGGCAGGGGAAGTGCGAGTCGGAGAGATGGGAAAGGGCGAGGGACCAGAGACAAGATTGTAGAGCTGGAAGCAGGTGGCTGTGCAGCTGCCAGCCCCCCCCCTCTGGCCCCCAGACCCCCCCCAATCCATTGGTCCTGCATTGGCAATTGTGGTCAAGACCTGAGACCCTGGCCCACACCTGTGGTTACAGAGTGCCCCAGGAAAGCCATGTACCACCACAGATTCAGGGAGGTGGGTGCCCTGAGTCCTGAAAAGAAAGGAGAGTGATTCAGGCTCCTGGGTCCTCAAAGACCCTCTTAATATTTATCTTTGCTGACTCTGTTATTTAGGTTAATAATAATATTCATAGTTACACTCTTGTTGTTAACTCTCCCCGGTTGAAAGTTCTTAACCTATTAAGAGGGAGGAGGGGACAGAGATAGGGACCCATAGTTCCTGTGTGATAAGAGGACGGGCGGGGGGGGGCGGGGGCGCCAGCTTTTCGTCTGACATCTTCTCAGGGAGCACTGAAATCTGGCGCTCCTGGAGTTTCACAATGCCGCCCAAGGACGACAAGAAGAAGAAAGATGCTGGGAAGTCTGCCAAGAAAGACAAAGACCCAGTGAACAAATCTGGCGGCAAAGCCAAAAAGAAGAAGTGGTCCAAAGGCAAAGTTCGGGACAAGCTCAATAACCTAGTCTTGTTTGACAAAGCAACATATGATAAACTTTGCAAGGAAGTTCCCAACTACAAGCTTATAACCCCAGCTGTTGTCTCTGAGCGACTGAAGATCCGTGGATCCTTGGCTAGGGCGGCCCTTCAGGAGATCCTTAGTAAAGGACTTATTAAACTAGTTTCAAAGCACAGAGCTCAAGTAATTTATACCAGAAACACCAAAGGTGGGGATGCCCCAGCTGTTGGTGAAGATGCATGAACCACAGGTCCCACCAGCTGTACATTTTGAAAAATAAAACTTTATTAAACCAAAAAAAAAAAAAAAAGAGGATGGGGGCCAGGCATCAGGGACCTGCATCTGAGGTGAATTTCTTGCTGTATTTGCCCCAGGAGGTGGGGTCAAAACCACAGTGTGCACCAAAGATTGCCTAACCCCTACACCTGCTCTCTGTTAAAGGCACCACTCAAGACAGTCCCTTCAATTACCCTAAAAACTGCCAAAACTTCCAGAATATGCCATCCAGACATTGGTAGCAAAACCACCCACACTCACTCTCACCTGAGGTAACACAGAGACCTCTCCCCCTGAAATCTGTGGCCACTATCCCTGGCCCGGTTGCTGGGGCAAGGTTGGCATTGGCCATGGCCCTTTTGTGAGATGCTTCATCCTCTCCTGCCTCCTGATGACCCCCGCCCATCTTGTCCTGTAGCCCCGGGACCTGAGGGCTTCTGACACCAAATGATTTCCCATCCCCTGCGTGAATCACATACCCATTCTTAGTGTTTTGAATGTTAAAACACCAAATCATTAGGGCTACAGTATAATCTAATCACAGCTCTTTTGTCTTGGATTATTCGTTTGTTTGTTGTTGTTATTGTTGTTTTTCATAAAATAAAACTATTTGTTTCCCCTGGCTGGGGTAGCTCACTGGACTGGGCTCCAGCCCGAGAACAGAAAGGTTATTAGATTTCTGGTCAGGGCACAAGCCTGGGCTGCAGGCCTGGTCCCCAGCTGGGGGCGTGTGAGAGGCAACCAATCAGTGTATCTCTTGAACATCAATGTTTCTCTTCCTTTCTCCCTCCCCTCCCCTCTATCTAAAAATAAATAAATAAAATATTTTTTTTTAAATCCACAGGCTGAGGCTACACCCAAAACTAATTACATCAAAATACCTTGGGGTAGGACCCAGCCATCAATATTTTTAAAAATTAAATTGATTGCTTGATTAATTAAAAACATTTTTGAAGGATTCTAAAGGATATAATATTCTTCCTACTCTAGCTATTTTGCTTTTCTCTTAATGTTTGTATTAACTCTCTTTGGGGTTTTTTAGTCATTTTAAAGTTCTTACCATATTTTTACAAAAAAATTAAGAGCTTTGCCAACACCATTCTTCTCATGGCATTTACTCTATTAAAAATAAATATGCATTTATACCACACAACTCACAGAAACAATACTAAGTTTGAAAGTACACAACAGGCATTGTTATTTCATGTTACATCCAGTAAGATTGTATATACGCATATAGGAATGAAACAGAATTTTCAGCCATGAGCAAGAAATCGGAATGACAGGTCTGGTTCATGGCACCGACACAGGCACATGGGTTACACACGACGGTGGCCTGTGCCTTCACACAGTAACTGCTCATGCTCATACTCAGGGATGCTGGAGATAACGCTGAGCTCGGCATGCCTCGCTTCAACTTCCAGAAGACCATGGACTACAGGACTGCTGCCGTGATGCCATCTGAGAATGGCTCCTGGGCTGAGAAGGAGCCCCTGCCAACTAAAGAGTGAGGAGGTCAAGTTGAGGAAGCCAGTGGTTACGACTTCATGGGGCTGGGGCAGGGGCCAGCCTGGAACCCTGAGAGACCATTTGGCCAGGGAGACAACTTCAGTGGGCGAGAGCCAAAGGTTTGACTGCCTGGTGTGACTGGGGAAGTAGAAGTACCATTGCCCAAAAAGAGAGCGGAGGCAGCGAGGTCATTTGCTGACGTGCTGCAGCTCCCTGCATTGCATGCAGCATGCGGAACTTCGCCTGCTGCAAATGCAGAGAACTCCACCCCCACCCGCACGTGCTTACCCGCCACTTGCGCATGCGTACGTTCCAAGCCTGCCGGGGCCCACGAAGTCTGGCGTTCCTCCAGGCTCACCCAATGAGCTCATTGGACGTTTCTGCTTGACCAATGGAGCATCGAGCGATGGGGGCGGGGCCCGAGCGAGGGGGCGGGGCCCGAGCGAGGGGGGCGGGCCTCACCCGGCCGTTAGGAGCCGGTCAGGTGCGGCCAGCAGGGGCACTCGAGGCGGCACTCTGAGCACCGTTAGATTCCTGCGAGGTTCTCTGGAAGCCCGGAGGAATTCGGTGCTTTATAAACCCCAAGGGAACCCAGATTCCTGGGTCCTGGGGAAAGAGAAGGCGGAGGTGGGGCGGGGGCCGGGCCCGGAATCAGGAGTCCCGCGGGAAAAGGCCGCTGAACCCAGGCTCTGGGGCCCCTGCAAGGGCAGGGCCGGGGTCTCCGAATGCCGAGCTCCGCGGGGTGTGGGGCCGGGACCCGGAGAGCTGGGCCTTGGAGGAGCAGCAGAGGTTCGAGGCTGGACGCTGCGTCCGAGGAAGGAGGGGCCTCTGGGCGGGACTCCGGGGTCCGGGGGTCTGGCGGCCTCTGTTTGCTGAACGCCTGGCCTTCGGGGGGCAGGTGGCTGGGTCTGGGAATCACAGGGGTGGAAACTGAGGCTCAGTGAGCCAGTGCGCGTGCGCAGGCCCACACGGCAGGTAGGGGGCGGGCTGAGCTCTGGGAGCAGAGGCTCCCAGGCCCTGAGGCCGGTGCTTGCCAGGACCTGGACTTGGTCTCGTGGGTTGACAAGCTTCCTCTCCTGCATCCATTCACACGCAGGTCCTCAGGTCTTGCAAACCTGTCAGGAAGGAGCCATGGGTCCCCAGCTCACGCAGGGTTTGCTGTTCCTCTTTCTTCTCCTCGGAGCCTCCTCCTTGACCCGTATGTGTGGGGGAGGCGGTGGGGGGGGGCAGCGGGGTCACAGGAGGGATTTCTGCTGAAAGAAAGGTGTGATTTGGGCCCCACAGAGAAGGGCAAGGTTGGCTTATCTTTATCTCACTTTCTCCCCAGTGGCACAAAATTTCTATTGTCACAGGGGTGTATCCATGAGCGTGAAAGGCGACCCAAGTATGTTTGACTGGAGCACAGAGAAAGTTGAGGCTTGTGACAATGGATCACTTTGCCAGGAATCCGTGCTGATTGTTAAATCAGGTAGAATGAGAAGGGCCCTTGGGTTGGGTGGGAGGGGGGTGATTGTGTGTGTGTTCCCCTCCCCCAGGCCAAACTCGAGGCCCGCCATCCTAGGTCCTTCCCTCTTGTCTCATAACAGGGTCCAAGGCAGCAATTGTAGCCACGAAGGGCTGCATGCCCCACCAGAGTCCGGCAATAACGTTTGTCCAGCACTCCCCACCCCCGGGCGTCTTGGTGGTCTCCTCCAGCCACTACTGCGAGCTCTCCAATTGCAACCACAGAAGGAACTTACCTAACGTAGGGACTGAAAGTCTCCCAGGTACCTTGGGAGGGGAGAGATGGGTTTATAGAGAGAAACTCTATAAACCTCTGAAGAGATTGTAGGTCTTCCTTTTTTGTGTTCTTTTTTTTCCAGATTTTTTTTTCAAGACAGTTTACCTTAGGTATTACTTTGTATTAGTTTCGGGTGGACAATTATATACTTTACAGAGTGTTCCCCCCCAATATTTCTAGTACCTGCCCTGCACCCCTTTTCTGTTCTGACTTGGCTTAGGTCCAAGTGGGCCATACACAGAAGGATCTTGGACCTTTTGCTGGTCTTTCTTTTTCTAAATTGTTACCTTGGGGTATAAACAGTGCTCAGATCAGAGGATCATCAGTGAAGGCCAGGATATAAATTGGGTTTTGTGTTATTAAAAAAAAAAAAAAAAGATGTCAGTGGAGATCTTTGAAGTGGGTGGTAGCATAATCAGTACAACAGTTGTTGCTTCCCAGTTGCCATGTGAGCACAGCCCACTTCCCCCGTTTGGTCCAGCTTTTCAGCTCATTTCCTTCTCTTCCCTCTCTTATTCATTGTGTTCTAGCTAACGCTAGTATTCAAAATATTTGACAACAGAGATGGTAGTGGCCAATCAGAATGGACACTGGCCATAAAAACTAGTCCAGCCCCACATGTGCCTACCAGCTGAATGTCAACACTGCATTTTCTCACAATTTCCCATATTCCTTTGCTCTTTCCGCCCACCCCCCATTTCCACACAGCTAACCCCTCTTCATCCTCCAGCTCAGCCCAGTCTCCACTCTGTGAAAATTCTACCAAATTCTTTGAGGTAGTTAGGTCCTCCTTTAAGCCTTCGCTCGCATACCTAAGACACAGTGCCTACTAAGTAGCATTGTAATTCATTACTTACACGTCTTTCTCCTCCTAGACAACAATCCTAAACGGAACTGTCCTCCTCATCTCTATATCTCCACATCTAAGTACAGAGTGTGGAAGTCATGCTTTGGCAGCAAAGAAAATCAGTTGGAAAAGAGTTGGGAGGTGACATTCACAGGACTCGATTAGAGTGGCATCAGCGGGGAAGACTTGGGGAAGAGAAGGAGGCAAGGACAGACAACTCCAGAGGCAGGACATACTCTTAATTGTCCCTCTCTTTCCCCTTCCAGTTCCCAGTGTGTCGGAAACCCTCCACTGCCCAACCTGTGTGGCTTTTGGGACCTGTCTGAGTGCACCTTATCTCCCCTGTCCCAATGATACAAATCGATGCTATCATGGAAAACTTCGGGTCGCTGGAGGTAAACTGAACAACTGAGGGTTTCAGAGGCTGTAAAACTAGACACATGAGTGGCTGCCAAGAGGTTCTGATACTCAGGGGCCCAGGAATGAGGGACTAGATTCCTCTCTGATTTCCTAAAGCATCTCTGTGTCTCCCCTCCTTCCTTGTTCCACAGGAGACATCGACTCAACTTTAGAGGTCAGAGGCTGTACATCGGTAACTGGCTGCAGGCTGATGTCTGGGGTCTTCACAATAGGACCCATGCATGTGAAGGAAATATGTCCATTCCAAACTCTCATTCAACCCCGAAAGGTTGAAAATGGGGCCAACTGGCTTCCCATTTCAGTTGGGAAGTTAGAGCTACTGCTGCTGCTGTTGCTGCAGTCGCCGGTCCATTGTTCCTGAAGAGACATCTGTCCCAAGTCACAGGACACCTCTTTGGACTGGGAGCCTTCTTGACTGTTGGTCATCAAAAGGTGGAGACTTGAAGAAGAGAATTCCTGTGAATGTATTTGATGTTTCTAATAAAGTTTCTTATTATACTTCGTGTATGCCCCAAGATTCAAAATGGATTTTAATGTTGAAAGTACCTTTAAAATTCATCTTCTCCAACCCATGCCTTTTTTAGAAAGAGAGTCAGAGATCTGTAAAACTTTAATGAGTTCTACACATTACATAGCCATGGGCAGAACCAAGGCCAGAACTGTGATATTTTGGCCTAAGTCTGGTTTTCATTTAATAGGCTGCCTTCCCTTGCTAGCTGAGCAAGAGAGTAGGATTGACCATCAGAGCACTCTCAGCCCAAACTTAAGGCCAAAATTGAGTGCTTGGGGTTCTAGAGTTTCCCTGGGAGGTACGGCAGAATGAGGACAATCAGACTCCAAATTCTTCTATTATAATGGGCCCCGTTTCCCTAAGTCCGCCTATGCCTTACCCGCTTTACATGATTCTTTCCCTTCTCTGTTGCCTACTTAATGCTTCTTCAGTGGACAGAGGAGACTTAGGAGACAGCTGAGCCTGAGACTATTGGGGGGAAGATTTTCTTTTAGATTCTCATGCTTATTTATATATTTACTTATTACTCAAGAATACACGTAACCTATCTTATTGCAGAAGACTTTGAGCTCTCTTCCGCATCTGCTAGATGTGAGAATGCAGACCATCCTCAGAATCAGACTGTTGACATTCCAGAAAATGTCAGTGTCACTCTGAAGGGCCCCAGAGGCTCCCGGCCCCAGAGGCTCCCTGCAGAGAGACTTCAATCACATCAATGCAGAGCTCAGTCATCTTAGAAAGAAAAAGCTTTGGGTTGGCAAATGCTGGGGAAATGGAAAGGAACTGGCCACTTTTCACACTGTCTGCCATCGTGTACAGAACATGTTCAAGGGTGTCACACTGGACTTCCATTACAAGATGAGGTCTGTCTGCCTTCACCCTCCCATCATCCTTGTTATTCAGGAGAATGGTTCTCTTGTTGAAATCTGAAATTTCTTGGAGGAAATATACACCTGCAGTGTTTCAGTGAGGTCAGGCATTGCTTTTTCAGTGCCTCAAGCCCAGAAAGATGAGTTCATTCTTGAAGGAAATGACACTGAACTTGTATGAAATTCAGCTGCTTTGATTCAACAAACCCCAACCGTTAAAAATAAGAATACCAGAAAAATTTGGATAGTAACTATGTTTCTGAAAAAGGAACAGTTTAGCAGGCTGATAAGATCTAAGCTGTTTGGCTATAGAAACAGCAAGGTGCCAGGTGATTCCTCAGACTTATTTGTGATACTTTAAAGATGCAATAAAAGCCATGTATTGATTAGGGTGGTGGGGAGGGGCAGATTTTGATACAGGAGCTGTATAGAGCAAAGCAAAAGGTAGAGAGGATAAGGGTAAGTGTCCTGACTTTTTTCTTTCTAAAAGATGACTTTGGCCTAACTGGGTAGCTTAGTTGGTTAGAGTATCATCTCAATACACCCAGGTCACAGGTTCAATCCCCAGTCAGGGCACATCATGAATGCATAAATAAGTAAAACAAAAAACTGATCTCTCTCTCTCTCTCTCTTTCTCTCCCTCTCTCTTCTCTCTCTGTCTCTCCCTATCTCTAAAAATCAATTTTTTAAAAAGGTTTTTTTTTAAAAAAAACAGCTTTATTGAGATTTAATTCATGTACAGTAAACTGAACTGGGGGTGGGATGAGGAGCTTTTAATGCGAACTGTTGGCCTCTCCCTCAAAGGACAGGGGAGTTTGGCCATAGTATGTTCCTGCCAAGTTCTTTCTAGAAAATTGTCTAGTTGTAACCAGCTCTTTGAGTTAAAACCCCACTACAGCTAATACTTAATGTTTTTCCCTAGGCATCTAGTTCCCCAATGTGTTAGTTTGCTGAATCTCTCTAAAGAAGGAAAAGAAGCACAAATTTTAATTTAATTAGGGGAATATAAGTTTGGAAAACAATAGGCATCTGGGACCAAAAAAAATCTAAAACAAAAAAAAAAACAAAAACAACAAGAAAATCCAAGTAAGGCCCTGGCTGGTACAGCTCAATTGATTGGGCATCGTCCCACAAAGTGAAAGGTCTCCAGTTCCCAGTTAGGGCACATACCTACGTTGCAGGTTCAATCCCTGGTCAGGGCACATACAAGAGTCAACCAACCAATGTTTCTCTCTAGCATCGATATTTCTCTCCCTCTCTTTCTCCCTCACTTCCCCTCACTCAAGAAAAAATTAATTAATTAAACCTTTATTTTAAAAAGGCCAAGTAAGTGTTTCCACAGGACACTAGCTTTCTAATGGCTCTGAAGACAGTTGCAGGAGAAATTCCTGGGTAAACAAAGGGAAGACGCGATATTTGAAAATTCACTCAAAGAACTTCATGCAGCACCTACAAATTTCTCAGTTCACAAACTCAAGTGTGCAGATTTCCAAATATTTTAATGCAAGCATATAATATATAACTTTTCATATATTTTCATTTTTTCCACATTTTTATCATTGTTCAAGTACAGTTGTCTCCATTTTTCCCCTACCATTTCCCCACCTCAGCCATCCCCACTTCCCACCCTTGATCCTACACCCTTTTGGTTTTGTCCATGTTCCTGAAAACCCTTCCCCCTTTCCTCACTATTAGTCCCCTTCCACCTCCCCTCTGGTTACTGTCAGTTTGTTCTTAATTTCAATGTCTCTGGTTATATTTTGTTTGCTTGTTTGTTTTGGCGATTAGGTTCCACTTATAAGTGAGATCATATGGTATTTGTCTTTCATCACCTGGCTTACTTCACTTAGCATAATACTAATACTATCCAGATCCACCCATGCTGTTGAGAAGGGTAGGAGCTCCTTCTTTCTTTCTGCTGCATAGAATTCCATTGTGTATATATACCATAATTTTTTGATCCATTCATTTACTGGCAGGCACCTAGGTTGCTTCCAGTGCTTGGCTATTGTAAATTGTGCTGCTATGAACATTGTGGTGCATAGGTTCTTTTGGATTGGTGTTTCAGGGTTCTTAGGATATAATCCTAGCAGTGGAATTGCTAGGTCAACAGGCAGATCCATTTTTAGTTTTCTTAGAAAATTCCATACTGTTTTCCATAGTGGTTGTACCAGTCTGCAATCCCACCAACAATGGATTAGGGTCCCCTCTTCTCCACAACCTCTCCAACATTTGTAGTTTGTTGCTTTGTTTATGATGGCCATTCTGACTGGTGTAAAGTGGTATCTCATTGTGGTTTTAATTTGCATCTCTCTGATAGCTAACGATATTGAGCATCTTTTCATGTGTCTCTGGATCTTCTGTATGTCCTTCTTGGAGAAATGTCTGTTCAAGTCCTTTACCCACTTTTTAATTGGGTTGCTTGTCTTCCTAGAGTGGAGTCGTGTAAGTTCTTTGTATATTTTGGAGATTAAACCTTTGTCTGAGGTATCATTGGCAAATATGTTTTCCCATTCAGTTGGTTGTCTTTTTAATTTAATACTGTTTTCTTTAGCCATGCAAAAGCTTTTAATTTTGATGAGATCCCATTTGTTTATTCTTTTCTTTATGTCCCTTGCTCTAGTTGTTTATCTTTTCAAAGAAACAGATCTTGGTTTCATTGATATTTTGTATTATTTTCTAGACTCTATTTCATTTATTTCTACTCTGATCTTTATGATTTCCTCCCCTCTACTCACTTTGGGCTTTGTTTGCTGTTCTTTTTATAGGTCCCTTAGGTGTAAGGCTAGACTGTTTGAGATTTCTTTGTTTCTTGAGCTAGGCCTCCACTGCAATGAATTTCCCTCTTAGAGCTGCTTTTGCTGTGTCCCCCTTCATTTTGGGTTGGTGTATTTTCATTTTCATTTGTCTCAAGGTTATTTTGCTGTCTTCCTTGATTTCCTTGTTGGCTCATTCATTGTTTAGTAACATACTATTTAGCCTCCACGTGTTTCTGCATTTTTTCAGTTTTTCTTTGTAATTAATTTCTTGTTTCATACCATTGTGGTCAGAAAATATGCTTGATACGATGCCAGTTTTCCACTCCTCAAAATAAACGAGTGCAAGCAGACCAAAAATGGTTCAAGAAGATCTCAAAGCCCCAGAGCCTATAAATCTAAGCGACAAAGAAATAGCAAACCTTTCAGATGCACAGTTCAAAACACTGGTGATCAGGATGCTCACAGAACTGATTGATTTTAGTCACAAATTAGAGGAACATATGAAGGCTAAACTAATTGAAATGAAGGGAATTGCATAGGAAACCAATAGTGATGAAGAGGAAACTGGGACTCAGATCAAGGGAGTGAACCAGAAGAAAGCAACTCTTGCTGGCAACTCTTTGATTTGCAGGCTAGCACTCAATCCACTGAGCAACACTGGCCAGGGCTAAAGACCAATTATTAAAAGAGCAATAATCAGATAGAATCTTTTTTAAAGATTTTATTTATTTATCTTTAGAGGGAAAGGGAAGGAGAGAGGGAGAGAAATATCAATGTATGGTTGCCTCTCATGAGTCCCCTTGCTGGGAACTGGCCTGCAACCCAGGCATGTGCCCTGACTGGGAATCAAACCGCAATCCTCTGGTTCACAGGCCCGCACTCAATCCACTGAGCTACACCAGCCAGGGCCAGATAGAGTCTTTTAAAGCAAGAAACTCTTTGTAGCTACAAAGAGCCAGCTAGGTTAAAAGTAAAATGATACAACTCACTTCTCCAAATGGAGCAACAGAGACCAGATTTATCTTCCTACACGAAACAACCAAAAAACCTGACAAAATGCTTACAGTAATAGTTTTCAAGACACTTGTCATCAAGAAACAAAGGACAGTAATTTCTGAGAGAGTGGAAAAGCAACAGGCAACCCTATGATTACAGCAGCTCTCTATTTCGGGGAGTCTCTAGACTACGGCACAGGAAAACAGAACTCTGGTGGAGCCTGGCA